CTGTCCATCCCCCTCTCCAGGTGTTGCCAGATCCACGACCACTGCTACTCAGAAGCCAAGAAACTGGACAGCTGTAAATTCCTCCTGGACAACCCCTACACCAAAGTCTACTCGTACTCGTGCTCTGGCTCTGAGATCACCTGCAGCGGTAGGTTGAATCTTTTGTTGGCTTGTCTCCCCTCAGTAGATAGGGGAAGAAATAATAGTAATGAGAGCCACCATTTATCAATCACTTCGTTGGTGCCAGGTGCTCCTTGAATTCAAGGTGTTCCTTGAATCCTGGCAACACCCTAGGCGATCGGTATTATTATTATACCCATTTTACAGGTGACAAAACTGAGGCTCAGAAAGCTGAGCCAGTTGCCAATGGGCACACAGCTCATAAATGGTGGTTTGGTTTTGAACATAGGTCTATACGACTCCAGAGTCTCTGCTCTTAACTGCCATGCTATTCAGCTTCGTTGTTTCATAAAAAGAGCTCAGAACTACCATTTATGAGTTCCTTATTACATACCAGGTATAGATGAGATAGGTTTTAATGACCCCATTTTACAGGTGAGGAAGCTGAGACTCAAAATAGCCACTTGCCCCAAATCACACAGCTTCTAAGTGGTAGGGCTGGCATTTGAACTCAGTTGTTTCTATATCAAAGGGTCTGGTCTTAACCACTAAGTTGTGCAGAGCTCCTGATGAAGTACGTCCCTCCAGGGAGGCGGCTGTGAAGAATAGAGGTGAAGGGTATTGTCATGCTAGGTCAGCATTCTGGTTTGCACTACTCTCTACTATGCACCCAGAGACAGGTCCCACTTTTCAAAACTGTACATACAACATTGGGATAACCACAATTCAAATCTAGGAGGCCAAGAAAAAAATTATCAGGAATCCCACCATCCTTCTCCCCCTGCTTGTGCTCTCTCTGTCAAATAAATATATGAAATCTCTTTTAAAAGAAATTATTGAATGTAAGCAGAGGTACATAATTATAGTTAACAAAATTGAAATTCATTTTAAAAGTTATTGTTGTTGTTTCTTTAGTTAAAAAAGTAAACAAGGGGCACCTGGGTGGCTCAGTGGGTTAGGCCGCTGCCTTCGGCTCAGGTCATGATCTCAGAGTCCTGGAATCGAGCCCCGCGTCAGGCTCTCTGCTCGGCGGGGAGCCTGCTTCCTCCTCTCTCTGCCTGCCTCTCTGCCTGCTTGTGATCTCTCTGTCAAATAAATAAATAAAATCTTAAAAAAAAAATAAAAAATAAAATAAAAAATAAAAAAGTAAACAAGGCCAAAGTAATGTAATTTCAAACTCTTCAGAAACGTATCATAGAAAGGAGAAGTTGCCTATAATCTTATCTCCCAAAACAAAGAGTTGGATATATTGCCTTTCATTTTCATTCATTCATTCGTTCATTCATTTATAAGCAGTTACTCATTGGCAGTTTTTAAAAAAAAATTATTTATTTATTTGACAGAGAGAGACACAGTGAGAGAGGGGACAGAAGCAGGGGGAGTGGGAGAGGGAGAAGCAGGCTTTCACTGAGTAGGAATCCCGATGCAGGGCTCAATCTCAGGACCCTAGGATCATGACTTGAGCTGAAGGCAGACACTTAATGACTGAGTCACCCAGGAGCCCCAACCTTTCATTTTCCTTTAATAAAATATCTTGGACACATTTCTACATATAGATGTACTTAATTATTTTAAATATCTGTATAATATTCTACTGTAAGAACATTCTATAATTTTTTAAATATGTGCTATAAAATAGAGAAATTGTCTTGCTAAATTTCAGTAAGGTGAAATGTACAATACTTCGTTCCTTGAGTATATGTTTTAGTGTTTTTCATATTGCTTATAAATTGCTTGCCTATGTTATCAGAGATCTATAGCTATATGGGTTTTAAGAGCTTATTTTAAGGGATGCCAGGGTGGTTCAGTTGGTTAGGTATCTGCCTTCAGCTCAGGTCATGATCCCAGGGTCCTGGGATTGAGTCCCACAACGGGCTCCCTGGGAGCCTGCTTTTCCCTCTGCCTGACGCTCCCCCTGCTTGTGCTCTTTCTGACAAATAAAATCTTTTCTTTTAAAAAATTATTTTTATTTATTTATTTGACAGAAAGAGACACAGCTAGAGAAGGAACACAGCAGAGGGAGTGGGAGAGGGAGAAGCAGACCCCCTGCAGAGCAGGGCGCCGGATGCAGGGCTCCATCCAAGGACCCCGGGATCATGACCTGAGCAGAAGGCAGACGCTTGGGACTGAGCCACCCAAGCGCCCCCCCCTTTTTTTAAAGAGCTCATTTTAAGTTAAATAGACGGAACTTTCCAAAAGGCACCTATCACACCTGGGATTGCCAGATTAAACACATGTTGCCCTGGGACGCCTGGGTGGCTCAGTCCTTAAGCATCTACCTTTGGCTCAGGTTATGATCCCAGGGTCCTGGGTCTGAGCCCCGCATCAGACTTTGCTCAGCGGGAAGCCTGCTTCTCCCTCTCTCACTCCCCCTGCTTGTGTTCCCTCTCTCGTTGTCTCTATGTCTGTCAAATAAATACATAAACATCTTAAAAAAAAAATAAACCCACGTTGCCCAGTTCAACTTGACTTTCAGATGGACAATGAAGTTTTTTTATTCTACATGTCAAACATCACATTTATTGTTTATCTGATATTCAGGTATTTTTATTTGCTAAATCTGTCAACCCTAAATTTGTATCAATGGAATGGCCACCAGATTATTCGTTAATTCTTCCTGACCCACATTGGACAAAGCAGGATCTGCCTTGGCTCAGTCCTTTCGTCTTGCTCTTTTCCAGACAAAAACAAAGACTGTCAGGCCTTCATCTGCAACTGTGACCGCAATGCTGCCATCTGCTTTTCAAAGGCTCCATATAACAAGGAGCACAAGAACCTTGACACCAAGAAGTACTGTAAAAGTTGAGTATCCCTTCTGGAAATCATCATCCCTACATGCCTCATTGTCTTCACCTTAGCCTGTGTCCTCTAATAAAGCACTTTGATGAAAGGCCTCCGTTTGGAAACTGTTTTATTCTCTATCTGTGTCTCTAAGTCTCTCCCTAGTTCTTTATAAGCATCATTCCTTCTAGCCTTGGAAATTGATGTTGGGGGATATTTCTAGGAAATGAACACCATGAGTCCTGAATAATGATTAACAAGTGCTGATTATTTACTCGGTGCCAGATTGAACTACATAATATATCCTCTGAAGTAATATATCCTACCCCTGTTTCCTTATCCCCAGGGCTGGGGGAGAGAGACAAAAAATCCCTTTAACAATCTTTTTTTTGGGCGCCTGGGTGGCTCAGTGGGTTAAGCCTCTGCCTTTGGCTCAGGTCCTGGGTTGGAGTTCTGCATTGGGCTCTCTGCTTGTCAGGGAGCCTGCTTCTTTCTCTCTCTCTCTGCCTGCCTCTCTGCCTACTTGTGATCTCGCTTTGTCAAATAAATAAATAAAATCTTTTTTAAAAAATCATTTTTTGGGGTAAGATTTTATTCATTCATCTGACAGAGAGCAAGAGAAAGCACAAGCAGGGGGAGCAAGCATAGGAGAGGGAGAAGCAGGCTCCCTGCGGAGCAGAGGGCCCTATATGGGGCTCCATCCCAGGACCCCCGCCAAAGACAGATGCTTAACCGACTGAGCCACCCAGCCTCTCCCCTTTAACAATCTTTCAATGAGCATCTGCTGGGTGCTTATTAAAGGAAATGGAATATGGGAAACCCTAGTACAGTGGCAGAGATTTAAATGAATAAACTTAATTGTGAGTATTCTGAAGTAGCGATTACATCCCAGCAGCCACAGCGTCTTCACAGTGCTTAGCACATCTCACACGCTCATTGAATAATTATTGTTCAGCGAAGACAAGTCTTGGCGCCAAGGTTTGCGGCAGTCGAGGAAAAACCACGTGGCTATATTTACCTTTTAAGATCACGTGATCCCGAGCCCAACCCCGGCATTTCCTTGCCCGCAGGGATTTCAGAATAGGAAATGTGATTGGGTATCTTTTGGACACGTGGTACCCGGTTCCTCCTTTTTTTTCCCCTTACACTTGGGAAAAGCGGCCCAGCCCCCGACCCACCTCCGCACCGTCCAGGCTCTGACCCCGCCCCCTCGCGCGTGGGCGCGAGCCGGCGCAGGCGCAGTGGTTGGTGACGGTTGCTCCAGCCCACGTCAGAGTGAGGTGGCGGCGACGGCTCCTTGCGCGGCTTCCTGGGTCCTCGGTGCGCTGTTCTCCGTGGTCAGAATCCGGCGGGAAGGAAAGAGTGGGCGGGCCGAGTGTGAGAAAAGAGCGAGCTCACGTAGGTATGACGTTGGGGTCCACCTTCCTGCGGTGCGCGTGCCTGTGGGTGTGTCGGCCCCACACGCGCCCCTTCGTCCCCAGCCCCATAACGGTTTCCGGTGGGGAGCTGCTCCAGGGCTCCCATCCCGGAAAGGGACGAGGCGACCGGGAAGCTAGGGTGCGGGGAGCCAAACTGGCGCGAGGAGAGAGGCGAATGGATGTTGGGCGAGCCATGGGCTTCTGCACCTAAAGTCCCCATTTTCGAAGAGGGGAAACAGAATGTGAAGGGATTTGCAGCTCTGACCTCCGGTTGGAATGCTCCCCCTTTTCCCGCCTGGTGCTTGCCTGTTCATCGCTCAGGACCTAGTTGGGGTCACCTCAAGAGGTTTCTTGAGTCTTGTCCTTTTTCGCTCCCAAAGTGCAGTTGCGCAGTCACCTCACCGGGCTTCTATAGATCATTAAAGAAAGGGAGTTCAGAACTGGACGGACTGGCTTTGGTTACTGGCCAGGTCACTCCAGGTGACCTTGAGCTAGTCACATAAAATCTCCAAGCTTCAGGATCTTCATCTTTCAAAAGAAATAATAGTGTGCAGATCATAGGGTTGTGGGAATTAGGTGAGCCAACACCTTGTAAAATGCTTCCTACATTGCTTGTTCTATAGTAAATGTTCCATAAATAACTATTTTCCCAAGGGGAAGGAGAGGCAAGGATACTCTTTATTTTCTTTAGAAAGGCTTTATTCTATCAGGTAAGACTTGGCTTTTGTAATCTTCTGAAAAAACGACAGATACACAAAAAGGAATGTAGCTCTGGAAAAGACCCATGCGAGTCTAGTTGAAGTATTCAGTAGAGGACAGAGTTTTAGCCAAGTGGTTATGGCTGACATTTGCTTACTGTGTGCCAGGCACTGTGCTGGGAGTTTCAGATGCATCCCTACCTTTCTTAATCTTCCTAACAACCCAGTTAGGTAGCTACTGGTATCCTCATCCAAAGAGACTGAAGATTAATCATTTGCCCAAATTCACATAACTAGTAAGTAGCAAGACAGGGATGGAAATCCAGGTCTGTCTATATCCTAAGAGTTTCAATTTGTGCTATATCCCTTTTCTAATAGAGGAAACACACACACACTCACTCTCTCTCCTTTCTTGGACGAGATTAACTCCCCCCTCCCTTTCACAAAGTGGAATTTATCTGTTTAGTGACATAAAGATTAAATAAAAAATCTGGATCTGAGCACCATCTGGAATCCCAAGAAGGATAATATATCTGGAATTAACTATTTCAATTAACTGATAACTAATACCCCATTCCTAGGAGCAGGGTAACCAGTTCATCCTGATTTTAGCACTGAAAGTCCTGCAACCCAGGAAACCCCCTCAGTACTGGGCAATCTGGGACAGTTAGTACCCTACCTAGGAGTGTTGAATTTCCTATTGGTCCTTAATGGATCCTCTCAGGAAAAGTTTGGCATTCACTGGCTGAAGACTGACCCTTACGCATGGCCAAGCATTTCTTACTGGGTTAACTCATCAAGTGAGCTGATAATGTGTTGTGAAATACTTTGCATAGTGTTTGGGATATAGTGTGCTCAATAAATGTTATTATTTAAGGGAGAGCTAAAAGACAGATAATTTATGACAGTATAAAAGAAGGAATATAAGTTAGTGGGAAATTGGTTTTGAGTGTCATGTACTTGTTTGCCTTTGTGACTTCTACTTACTAAAACTGTGATAGCAGAGCAGAGCCATATAAGCAATTGAGGAGGGTCATGCCCAAAGCTACACGCAGCTGGAAGGCTGTAACCGGGGCAGTGACACATTGATGGCGCCCACTAGTCAGTTTGTTATTCCAACAGAGGACACTTATAGTGGGTTAGGAACTGCCATGCTGGTAAAAAGCAAAAGATGTAAAGTGAGGAGATGTGAGATCTTTGCAGAGTTTGTCTTGGGACAAATTTTGGGGGAGGAATTCCACCTCAGGAGGAACTATGAACAAAATGAACATTCCTGAGGTCCTGAAGACTTGGTTTCATGAATCATGCCAGCATTAGGTGGTAGAGCCTGCCTCCCTCCCTGGCAACCTAACCTGCTCTCCAGGGCCTGCTGCAGCTTAACCATTCCTGGTCTCCTTGGCCAGTTGTACTGCTGGCTTCTAATTCAGGCTTCTTTCTAAGCATAAGCCTCAGACAAATAGGAAGCAGTTGTTCAAAAAGAAAAGAACTGGGAGGAAAGTCTTGGATTCTAGTCCTGGCTCTGAAACTATGTTGTATGGCCTTCAGTAAGTCTGGATCTTAGTTTCCCCCAAAATAAAATGAGGGGGATGCATTTAATTTGCTCCCATTCTGTCTCATCTCATGCATGAATCTGTGACATTCTGTGGTAGAGAGTAAGGATGGGGAAATAGCACATTTTCTGTGAGCCACTTGAAGCCAAGAGATTGTCGCCTTAGTACCTTAATATAGTATCTGTAACTGATATAGTAACCCCTGATGAAATTTGGGGATGAGAATAGCTTGAGATCTGAAAGACCCAGATCTGAATACAATTATTGGTACTGACTTTTGGTAACTGAGCAAATCTGATTCAAAGCACCTTAGGATCCTCTGCAAAAAAGCTGAAATGAGATTTACAACAACCGTACACCTCTTCAGAATTAGCGGCTATGGGAAAACATACAGTTGTGCAGATGAAAAGAACTCTGTTGGTTTCAAGATCCTGGATTATCCGTTAACTAAAATTTACTTCCTAGGCAGGTGCAAGATGAACATGTATTCCTTGCCCTAATTTTAGACAAAAGACTAGCTAGAAAAGGCTGTGACTCTTTCATCCGCTTTACTTTTTTATTTTTTTTACTTTGAGATTGTGCTGAAAGCTTTAGCCTTGTACAGGCTTGCTGCCTTACTTGGCAGAAACAAATCAGTTTAAGAGCCCACATGTTTCCTCTCTACAGACCAGGTTCAAGGCAAATGTCTCATTCTGGCAGCTGAAATCCAGCAGAAATCCTCAGAGAACTGTGTCATAAAGCCCATTCTCTTTTAGCTGATTAAAAAAATATAAACCTAAAGCCCACATACCTAAGTGTGCTATTAAAAATATGATTCCTTTATTCCTTCGTTCATAAAAAATTCACTCATACCATTACTCATCTTAAAAAAATATATCAGAATGTTTCAGTTAGAGACACTTAACCATTTGTAATTATAAATGAAGTCATTTTCTTCTCCCCTCACCCCCCACCTCAGTGAGATTCCTGGGTTAGCTAGCACTCCAGAGACTGTTCTGGCCTACATTATTTCCCAAGCTGTTTCTTCCGCCTGGTGAGATAAAAAGCAAGTGAGGGCAGTTTTCCCTACCCAGAGCAGCCACTGCTTTGAAAAATCTTTCTTAAGGGTCAAATCTCATCGGTCACACTCAAACTTGCCCAGTTCAGAGAGGGGCTGGAGAAAGATGTCGGTTTGCTGCCCTCTACAGGCTGCATCCAGTGAGCTTTGATTAGGTAGAGGAAGAAGGGAGGAATCCTTACCACGGATCTGAAAAGAAAGGAAACAAGTTAATGCTGAATAAGCCGAGAGTGAGTGGGGGTAATGGTTGTGAACATCAGCCTACCATTCAAAAAAAACACAGCATCTAGGGCGTGTAAAGATGGCCACCACATCTAGTTAAGTGAAAACAGGATATGATAAAACATGAACAACCTTGATTCGATTTTTGTAAAAAAAGATTTGGTTATACCAGAATGTTAAACTTTGGTTATCTTGGTGATGGGATAATGGGTAATTTGTATTATATTCTTTTTACTTAATTGTGTCATTTTTTTTTAAAGATTTTATTTATTAAAGAGAGAGTGCAGCAGGGGGAGTGGCAGACAGAGTGAGAAATAGACTCCCTGCTGAGAAAGGAGCGGGATGCAGGACTCAAATCCCTGGACCCTAAGACCACAACCGAGCTAAAGGCAGCCACTTAACCAACTGAGCCACCCAGGCATCCCTTATCTGTATCATCTTGATGTTCTACAATAAATATGTAGTATTCTGGTATAAGAACCTAGTTTAGGGGCCCCTGGGTGGCTCAGTGGGTTAAGCCTCCACCTTCAGCTCAGGTCATGATCCCAGGGTCCTAGGATCAAGCCCTGCATCGGGCTCTCTGCTCAGCAGGGAGTCCCGCCTGCCTCTCTGCCTACTTGTGATTTCTGTCTCTGTCAAATAAATAAATAAAATCTTTAAAAAAAAAAAAAAAAGAAGAAGAAGAAGAACCTAGTTTAAAAAAATGTATTAAAAAGCTGGCAGTTGTCGGGGGGGGGGTGCACCCAGGTGGCTCAGATGGCTAAGCATCTGCCTTCAGTTCAGGTCACAATCTCCAGGTCTTGGGATTGAGCCCCACATCTAGCTCCCAGCTTAGCAGGGAGTCTGCTTCTCCCTCTCCCTCTGCCTCTCTGCCTGCTTGTGCTCTCTCTCCCGCCCTCTCAAGTGAATAAATAAAATCTTTTAAAAAGGGGGGGGGTGGTGCCTGGGTGGCTCAGTGGGTTAAAGCCTGTGCCTTTGGCTCAGGCATGATCCCAGGGCCCTGGGATCAAGCCCGGCATTGGACTCTCTGCTTGGCGGGGACCCTGCTTCCTCCTCTCTCTCTACCTGCCTCTCTGCCTACTTGTGATCTCTGTCTGTCAAATAAATAAAGTAAAAATCTTAAAAAAAAAAAAAAAGTGTGTGTTGGGGCGCGTGGGTGGTTCAGTCGGTTGAGCTTCCAGCTATTGATCTGGGCTCAGGTCTTGATCTCAGGCTTGTGGGTTCAAGCCCCATATTGGGGTTGGGGGTTGGAGGCTACTACTTTAAAAAGTTTGTATGCCAAGGGGGCTTCTTTGGGGCCAGTAGTGTTCTGTTCCTTGATCTAGATGCTATATGTCTTCATCAAGCTGTCTACTTATAATACATGCTCTTCTCTGTATGTATAGTATACTTCAGTTAAAATCGTTTTTGTAAAGTGCTTACATAGGAACGCTCATTCATTGGTGGGAACGCAAAATGGGGCAGCCAGTTTGGAAGGCAGTTGGCAGCTGCATACAAAACTAAACATTTATCATACGATTCAGCAATCTTGCTTCTTGGTATTTACCCGAATGAGTTGAAAACTTATACCCAGCAACTTAATTCATAATTGCCAAACACTTGGAAACAACCAAGATGTCAGTAGGTGAATGATAAATACTGTGTAAGTGCCCAGGGCAAAGGGGCATGTTGGATTCTCTGTACTTTCTGCTCAACTTGGCTGTGAACCTAAAACTACTCCAAAAATTAAAGTCTTCTTTTTCCTTTTAATGATTTTATTTATTTGTGGGGCGCCTGGGTGGCTCAGTGGGTTAAGCCTCTGCCTTCGGCTCAGGTCATGATCTCAGAGTCCTGGGATCGAGCCCCGCATCGGGCTCTCTGCTCAGCAGGGAGCCTGCTTCCCCCCTCTCTCTGCCTGCCTCTCTGCCTACTTGTGATCTCTCTCTCTCTCTGTCAAATAAATAAATAAAATCTTAAAAAAAAGATTTTATTTATTTGTGAAAGAGAGCAAGAGCACGCAAGCAGGGGGAGTGGCAGGCAGAGAGAGACGCGGACTCCTCGCTGAGCAAGAAGCCCAACAAGGGATTCAATCCGAGGACCCCCCAGGATCATGACCCAAGCCAAAGGCAGCTTTTTTTTTTTTTTTTTTTTAAAGATTTTATTTATTTGTCAGAGAGAGAGAGGGAGAGCGAGCGAGCACAGGCAGACAGAATGGCAGGCAGAGGCAGAGGGAGAAGCAGGCTCCCTGACGAGCAAGGAGCCCGATGTGGGACTCGATCCCAGGACGCTGGGATCATGACCTGAGCCGAAGGCAGCTGCTTAACCAACTGAGCCACCCAGGCGTCCCCAAAGGCAGCTTCTTAACCTACTGAGCCACCCAGGCGTCCCAAAGTCTTTTTTTTTTAAGTGATTGTACTTCTCTAGCAATATTGAAGTGTACAGATTAAATGAGTAAACTGTATGGTTTGTGAACTATATCTCAACAAAGCTTAAGTGGTTGTACTCATAGATTAAAATGGATATGAAGTACATGCTACAATATGGATGAATCTTTAAACTGTTATGCCACATGGAGAAGCCAGACACAAAAGGCCACAGATTATATGAAATGTCGAGAACAGGCTGAAATAGATTAGATGTTGCCAGGGACTGGGGAATGGTGGTGGGGTTGGGAATGGGGAGTGACTGCTAATGGGTACAGTGTTTCTTCTTGGGATGATGATATTCTGGAATTAGACAGTGGGGAGTAATGTACAACTTTGTGAATGTACTGTAAGACAACTTCGAAAGAGTGAACTTTATGGTACATGAATTATGTCTCAATAAAGCTGTTATCTTTTTAAAACGGGGGAAAGAAAGCAATGGCAGATTTTGAAATTATCTGGGTGGCTCAGTCAGTTAAGCATCCAACTCTTGATTTCAGCTCAGGTCATGATCTCGGAGCTGTGAGATTGAGCCCTTCCTCTGCTGGAGCTGGGCGTAGAGCCTGCTTAAGATTCTCTCTCCCTCTAATTAAGTAATTAGATGGATTAGATAGAAACAGATAGCACATACACAGAACTAAAAATCATAGTCTTTCAAACACTATAGCTCAATGCACATTAAAACAATTAGTTTTAATTAAGGGGCGCACAGGGGGCTCAGTTGGTTCAGCGACCAACTCTTGATTTTGGCTCAGGTCAGGATCTCAGGGCCAAGGGACTGAACTGGGAGTGGGGCTCCACCCACGCTCAGTGGAGAGTCTGCTTTTCTCTCTCTCCTCCTCCCTTTGCCCCCCACCCTGGCTCATACTTTTTCTCTCTCTAAAATAAGTAAATAAGGGCGCCTGGGTGGCTCAGTGGGTTAAGCCTCTGCCTTCAGCTTGGGTCATGATCTCAGGGTCCTGGGATCGGGTTCTCTGCTCAGTGGGGAGCCTGCTTCCCCCCCTCTTCTCTACCTGCCTCTCTGCCTACTTGTGATCTCTGTCTGTCAAATGAATAAATAAAATCTTAAAAAAAAAAAAAGCCTAGGGGCACCTGGGTGGCTCAGTGGGTTAAAGCCTTCAGCTCAGGTCATGATCTCAGGGTTCTGGGATCGAGCTCCGCATCGGGCTCTCTGCTCAGCAGGAAGCCTGCTTCCTCCTCTCTCTCTGTCTGCCTCTCTGTCTACTTGTAATTTCTGTCTGTCAAATAAATAAATAAAATCTTAAAAAAAAAAAGCCTAGAACTTTCTGTATTTTGTTAGTGCTCTCAGTTGAATGGGAACTAGAAACTGTTATCTAAGAAAGCATTTACCTTTAATAGCAGGATTACAGTGAAAGTCTGTTTCTGGCTCAGGAGCATCAGGCTCTGGTCAATGTGGGTCTATCAAAGGCAGCAACTCTCCACAGGGAGAATCCAGTTTCAGACATGCCAAGTCGTCCGACCGTGTGGGCCCAATGTTAAGTATCGCGATTGGAAGCTTCTTCTCTCGGGCAGTGAGGATAAACCTGTAGCCGGAGTACACCTTACAACAAGAAGACACAGGTGAGAACTCTCGATGCAGGAAGAAATAAACCAAATAGGGATCCTCTCCGGAGATCTCCATCCCAAGTCAGATACCTGCAAGGACGATCCCACCACCAAGAGGGAGTCGGCTTCTTTTACACGCCTGCGCACAAAGTCAACCTTGTCAGGGTTCACCGTGTCCCCGAAGAAAACGACGTCTGGTTTCAGGGGACCTCCACATCGAGCGCAGGACGGGACCTGAAAGCTCTGCACCTGCTCCTCTGTGAGAAAGACGTCGCCATCAGGAGCCAGGCCATGGGCCTCAGCACTCCAGGTGGGGTTCAGGGCTTCAAAACGCTCCTGCAACGCTCTGCGGGTAATCTTTTCACCGCAGTCCAAGCAAAGGACCCTGAAACCAAAGAAGCTGACTCAATGGTTGGTTCCGAGAAGGAAGGAAGCTGCCAAAGATGTCTCATCTCCAACCATTTTTAAGTCCTCCAACAGCGCTTGCCATTCCCAACATGGAATCTTTTCTCCATGTTAGGAATACCTTCTCATGACCTCTAAGTACCACCATTTCTCACTTTCCTTCTACTGCCAACCCACAGAACAAGGAGTGTACATCTGTTTTCCTTACTTAGACTCCTTGCTTACCCTGTTGGCTCATTTTTATATCCTTAGCACAACTGCAGATGACTTCCTTAGTGCCCACACCCATGCTTTTCCCTACCCTCTCTCTCCTCCTCTGGGGTGATGGTCGCTGTCTATCACAGTCTCTTTAAAAAACACTCTTCCTCCTGGTGTCTTTACCCAGTGTCTTCTGTTTCTCACCCCCCCTTTTTTTTTTTTAGATTTTATTTATTTATTTGACAGAGAGATCGTAAGTAGGCAGAGAGGCAGGCAGAGAGAGAGGGGGAAGCAGGCTCCCTGCTGAGCAGAGCCTGATGCGGAGCTCAATCCCAGGACCCTGAGATCATGACCTGAGCCAAAGGCAGAGGCTTAACCCACTGAACTACCCAGGCACCCCTTCTCTTTCTCCTCTTACGTCTCTAATCATGAGCTCCACGAGAGCAAGAACATTGAGTCCTTTGACCACTGTGCTATGCCCACCACTAGAACGGTGCCTACAGACAGTGGGCATTCCCTAAATAGCTGCTAAAAGAAAAAACAAAAGGCGGTTTAGTTGGTTTCTTCTCTACTCCTCAATCTTCCAGCCAGTTTTCTTCTACCTTCTCCACTCTGGGGACTCTCCATTTTCACTGCCACGATGCCTCTGTGCTGACGATCCTCTCCCCGTACAGGACTCCACTCCTGGCCTCTCTCCCAAACTCCAAGTCATCTTGACTGTCCTGTCCAGCTTACCTCTGTCTTCACCCACCCTTCCCCAACTTCTCCAGCACTGTCCTTTCTCCAGTTACTTGGGCGGGAACCCTTGGAAAAACTTGTTACTCATTTTGCTCCTTTTTATCTAGTCAGCCTTCAGATTATGTTGATTATTTTACTTAAAAGGCCCCCTATGAGGGGCACCTGGCTGGCTCAGTTGGTGGAGCATGTGATTCTTGGTCTCAGGGTTCTGAGTTCAAGCCCCACCTTGGGTACAGAGATTATGTAAAAAAATACAATCTTTAAAAAAAAAAAAAAAAAGGGGTGCCTGGATGATGTAGTCAGTTTAGCATCTGACTCTTGGTTTCGGCTCGGGTCATGATCTCAGGGTTGTGATATCAAGCACCATGTTGGGCTCCACGCTCAGGAGGAAGTCTGCTTGAGATTTTCTCCCTCTCCCGCCCCCAACTTGTGTGCACACACACACACTCCCTCAAATAAATAAATAAATCTTTAAAAAACAACTAAAGGCCCCCTATGAAATGACAAGAAGTCTTGGATTTGTTTTAAAACATTTTAAGAGACAAGGAGAGAGAGGGTAAAGTAGACATGATAAAATCTTTATATCTGAGTGATGGTACATGGGAGTTCATTATGCTACTTTCCTTTTAGGGACATTTGAAATTTTTATCATGCAAAGAAAGTTTTAATGGACTCATGGCCATCATTAGCTCTCGAGTTCCCCTGATACTACCTGGTTACAGGTCCCTTGGGCTGACCTCCCTGAGTCACTCTTTCTAATTCTGTGTGGCTTTCCTCAAATGCTATTTTTATCATACTGCTTTCTTGCTCAGAAACCACTAATATTCCCCTTTGGTCTCTCACGACAGACCCAAATTGCACTGCACTATTTTCAGACGCACCCATGATTTGAGTCTAGCCTTCCCAGACAATCTGATTTCATAGTAACTCTCCACATAGGCCAAGCCAGACTCCTCTGGGCTCTGCAAGTCCTCTTCATTTAGAAAGCCCTCTCCCTTCTTTTGCCTAGTTAGAACTGAGCTAGGCTTAAGCCCCATCTTTCCCATAAAAGCATGACCAGTTACTCCAAGCTTTCCTAAATGTTTCTCTGAACTTACAAAACATGCCTATCAAGGACCACATAATTTAACAATTGTGTGGAGTTATTTGTTAAACATGTTATTTTTGGTTCCTTCCCCCCTCCCCAAAAAGATCACAAAGTTCTCGTATATAAAGTAGACCATGTTTTATACGTTGGCTTTGACTCCTCCCTACCACCAAGTAGCACATGACATGTTGTGGGCGCCCAATAAATATTTTATGATTGGCAAGATCTCTGGGGCTTAAAAATAAGGAAATGGTTTCCAATTAGCTTCAAGTTATTGCCAGGGCTACATGTCTTCCTTCCATCAGTATTTACTGGGTTCTGACTATATGCCAGGCTGTATTGTGTTCTGTGTGTCTAGGCACCAGAGATCTACTGGCTTATAGCCTATGTTGTTGGCACTTTGCTCATAGTCCCCGCAAGACACCCTATAGGCCACTTGCACACAGTTCCCCTGTAAGTAACTTCCTGCATCTCTCTTAGGGTGTTCACTGGCCAAGGAAGCCTCCTCCAGAGTTGAAGAGTCAGTGTTAGGGACTTAATTCCCCTAAACTGACCCACAACCAATGAGGGATGGGACATGATGGACAAATGCCCCAGCTTCCTTGACTTTCAGTGAGACAATTCTGAAGCATGCTCTTGACAGAGGGTTCCTCAAAGGATTGAGGCTCAGTTCCCCAAAGCAGCAACCCATTCCTTAATTTGCCCTTTTCTTGGCTTTTCTTGCCTACCCTGTTTCATTTCCCCACTGAGTCTGTTCCTCTGTGAGTTTGCTGGGATCGACTCCAAAATAAACAGTTTGCTCCAAATCCTTTTCTCAAAGCCTAATGAAAACCACAGCGATCAAGATAGCCAAGGTCTCTGCTCTTATGGAGCACACATTGCTGCATTCAAACTATTTGGAACTTCCTGCACCTGTGCATGCATCCGTGGAGTTCTGTCAGGCGCTGACTCCCTGCTTTCGTGTGCAAGGCATCCACATTTTGGGTCACCAACCAGTACAGCTTTCCAAGTCTCTCCCAATTGCTCAAAGCCCAATGTGCAGGGTTAGGCTGGAGGGAGGAGAACCGAGGCCAGCCTACAAAGTTTCTCGCCCAGTACCGCTGGCGGATTGGAGCACTCCGTAGAAAATCCCCGTGCTGAATGGGTTTCTTGTCAGTGCGGGCGTAGAGTCCCACCTTTTCTGACCTGTAGTCTGGGATCCCCGACTCGGTGGAGATTCCTGCCCCGGTCATCACTAGGAGTCTCTTGGAAAGAGTGATGAAGCGCTGTAACTCTTTGACCTTCTCAGGGTCCAGAGGAGGACTTGGTGGCACAAATAACCCAACAGACCCATGTGAGCACTGCCGGCTGACGTTCACCATCCAGCGGCTTTTTGCTGCCCTGAAAGTCAACCCAAAACTCATCCTCATTCTAGAGAGAAAAAAACCTGATGTGAGAAACCGGGTTTTAAAAAAGAAAAGCGGGCGCCTGGGTGGCTCAGTTGGTTAAGCAACTGCCTTCGGCTCAGGTCATGATCCTGGAGTCCCAGGATCAAGTCCCACATCGGGCTCCTTGCTCGGCGGGGAGTCTGCTTCTCCTGCTGACCTCTCTACTCTCATGCTCTCTTTCTCTCTCAAATAAATAAATAAAATCTTTTAAAAAAATAAAATTAAAATAAAAAATAAATAAATAAAAAGAAAAGCAACCAAAAAACCCAAAACAAACAAACAAAAACAACTACAAAAACTGAAGCAACCATCAACCAATGAATGAATAAACAAAATGGGGCATATCTATTCAATGAAATGTTATTTACCTATAAGCATCAAGTTCTTTTTTTTTTTTTAAGATTTTATTTATTTATTTGACAGGGAGAGAGCGAGCACAAGCAGGGGGAGCAGTGGGCAGAGGGAGAGGGAGAAGCAGGCTCTGTGATATGCATGGAGCCCAAAACGGGACTCGATCCCAGGTTCCTGGGATCATGATCTGGGCCAAAGGCCAAGGCTTAACTGACTGAACCACCCAGGCACCCCACGCATGAAGTTCTGATATATGTTACAACATGGATAAACATTAAAAACATTATGCTAAGTATAAGAAGTCAGCCAAAAAGGACAAATACCGAACGATTCCATTTATATAACTTGTCCAAAATACACAAATATATAGAGACAGTAAGTAAATTAGTAGTTGCCAGGGACTAGAAGGAAGAATGTATCAGAACCTTAGTATTTCGGGGCACCTGGGTGGCTAAATGGGTTAAAGACTCTGCCTTCAGCTCAGGTCACGATCCTAGGGTCCTGGGGATCGAACCCCACATCCAGGCTCTCTGCTCAGCAAGAAGCCTGCTCCCCCTGCCCACCCACCCCACCCCCCGCCGTCTCTGCCTACCTCTCTGCCTACTTGTGATCTCTGTCAAATAAATAAATAAATAAATAAAATGATTTAGAAATAAATTTCTTATAAGGGGTTCCTTAGTGCCTCAGTTAAGCATCTGCCTTTGGCTCAGATCATGATCCCAGCGTCCTGGGATGGAGCTGTGGGTTGGACTCACTGCTTAGCAGGGGAATCCGTTTCTCCCTCTCCCTCTGCCCCTGCTCATGTGCTCGCTCTCTCGCTCGCTCGCTTATCGTCTTTGTCAAGTAGATAAAAATCTTTTTTAAAAAATTTCTTATAGATTTCAAAATATTAATGGCCTACTCCCAATATATTTTTTAAATCCCTTAATAGCTCATTGTTATTCCATCTAGACTACATCTAAAGAGTCTCCATTGGAGGACTACCTTTATAATTTGTTACTAACATCCCTTGGGAGACCGTGTGTTCCATAAACCTACTTCCCATTTTCTAAATAAGTATTTCTTCACAAACTAAAGAGCACATTTCAGAGGTGCCTGGGTGGCTCAGTCGTTGGGCGTCTGCCTTCCACTCCAGTCATGATCTCAAGGTCATGGGATCGAGCCCCACCTCCGCTCCCTGCTCAGCAAGAAGCCTGCTTTCCCTCTCCCACTCCCCCTGCTGTGTTCCTCCTCTCGCTGTCCCTCTCTCTGTTAAAAAAAAAATAATAACAAAGAGTGCACCTGAATTCTAGTTTGCTAGGTGTTGAAGTCGTAGCTCAGACATTTCAGACTTAGCTTTTTATGGCTTTTTATTTATTAATGTAACTAAGCACATGCACATCTTTTATTCTCTCTCTCCCATATTCTATTAGTTTACCCTCAATCGCAAACACCGCTCGCTAGTGGGACACAGCAGAATAGTGAGGTCTGGCACGACATTCTACCCCAACTTTCTAGCTGTAAAAACAAGGTTTTAACATATTATTTAACATAATGCAGAAATTCTCTAGTGATCGCACCCCGTATGTAAACATTATCTTTTTTTTTTTTTTAAGATTTTATTTATTTATTTGTCAGAGAGAGAGAGAGAGAGCGCGCTCGAGAGTGAGCACAAGCAGAGGCAGAGGGAGAAGCAGGCTCCCTGGTGAGCAAGAAGCCCGATGTGGGACTCGATCCCAAGACGCTGGAATCATGACCTGAGCCGAAGGCAGCGGCTTAACCCACTGAGCCACCCAGGCGTCCCTGTAAACATTATCTTATGCCTGGCTTTTCAGATCCAGGTTCAGGACCCTGATTTCTCTAGACATTCCACAGCAACACGTGAACGGCTAAACAAATCTGGTCTGGATTCCTGAGACCAAAGGGCTGGGGAAACCCCTCTGAAAACACGCTCTATTAGAACCGCAGCTCCCTGCCAGGTTCCACCAAAGGACAAAGAGTTAATACAGTACCCCTTACAACAAACCCCTTCAAGAAACCCGAAGCTCACCCAGAACACACTCACCTCTCACAGCTTAAACGACACTTTACGACTGACTATGCAACTGACTGGCTACTTTTGCATTTGGGGAAATGTAGTTCATGAAGAGGAAATGCTGCATAAAAACTACAAGTCCCACAATCCTCTGGGCTTCACAGTTAAGAGGCCCAGATTGTCTAGTAGCGCCACCTGTCTGCGGTTCAGGGTCAGAGGTTTTGAACCTTGGAGATGGGCCGCGGTCTTCTAAAATAACACAGTGTCCCTTTGATAGAAATGGTTCGAGTTTCCACACCGGAGTGCTAAGGGCAAAATAATACATCCAAACAGCACTAAGTTAGGAATTCCTTCTTAAGATAGAAGCTTTACGGGCGCCTGGGTGGCTCAGTCCTTAAGTTTCTGCCTTTGTCTCAGGTCATGATCCCAGGTCCTGGAATCCAGCCCCGCAGGGGCTCCCTGCTTAGCCGGAAGCCTGCTTTTCCCTCTCCCACTCTCCCTGCTTGTGTTCCCTCTCTTGCTGTCTCATTCTCTCTCTCAAATAAATAAATAAATAAAATCTTTTAAAAAATAGAAACTTTAATAATGGATCTAGACTAGACTCATACTCAACTTTAGTGATTATGATCCTTTGCACTCACCATGAGGAAATCAAGTTTCCACCTTGCAGCAGTTTGTGAACAAATATCTGAAAAACTGGTGTTTTTGGAGTTTATATGAACAACTAACTCCACACATAATATACAGGGAATCGTGTGTTTGCCCACTTGGCTTCTCCAATTTTATTTCTCCTTCTTTGTTTTTATTAAATTAACCAACACAATGCCTAGGTCTCACTTACAGATATTCTGATTTAATTGGTCTGGGGAGATGCCTGGGCATCAATCAGTTTACAAAGTTCCCAGTTGTTTCTAATATGTAACCAAAGAGAACCTTTGTTTTCTAGCCTCACCTAAATAAGTTATCAATTTGTGTTGAGAACATAATCAAAGGCCAGCTAACCTGGACCTTGAAGATCACCTAAGGAACAACTTCACCCATTTTAAGATAAACTGAAGCCCAGAAGAGTATTCTAGAAGTTGGAGTCAAAGTTTGACTCCTGATCCTCTCACTGAATGTGTGGAGGTAAATATTGGTAAAGTCACCCAGGTTAGTGTTTGAGGGTAGGACCTCCAGCAACAGCTCAGATAGGTCACCCTGCTGGGATAATCACCTGACATGACAGCCTTTTGTGCCCTAGTTAACCTGACCACACTGGCTGAAAGAAAGGCCCAAAATATAGACTGGAAATTTTTACTAAGTCAAAAAAATTGTAATCAGCAACATTTTCTGCATTTCTGGGTATTTGACCAAAACCTATTGAAATGGCAAAACACTGACATTCCCCCAGCCACATTTTATTATGAAAAATTTCCAACCCATATTGTTTTCTCAGTTTGCGAAGTGGAATGAGCATCATTTATTGCGAGACTGCCTGATACAGGGCGATTGTGCTCTTAGGCCCCAAAGATGCTCATGTTCCAGGGATAAATTAGCTGACTTTTCAATTTTTCTTAGTGCTGGAAAGTCATCCGTGGAGAATGAAGTCACCCAAGGCAGCTGGTGAAACACACAATTTCACCACACCAGGAATTTAATGACTAAGTCTTTGATTGGATCAAAGTAAAATAATCTAAAATTAATCAAGTTGTTAATCTCCCCCCACCCCTGCTAATTTTTCTTACCTTATGAAAAAAAAATTAACTACACATCGCCATCAAACAGGACTTTTAAAAATGTCATTTTTGCATCTAGGTGATGACTGTGTTCACTGAAACAACACTCTGAACATTTCATGTTTGAAATTTTTTTTTTTAAGATTTTATTTTTAGAGGTGGTAAGCACCCAACGCTTGATCTCAGCTCAGATTCTTGATCTCAGGGTTGTAAGTTCAAGTCCTGTGTTGGGCTACATGCTGGGCATGGTGCCTACTTTAAAAAAAAAAAAAAAAGATTTAATTTTTAAGTGACCTCTACATCCAAAGTGGGGCTCAAACTTAAAACCCCAAGGTCAAGAGTCTCATGCTCTAGCGACTGGGCCCACCAGGAACCTCTCATGTTTGAAAAAAAAATTTTTTTAAGATTTTATTTATTTATTTGACAGGCAGAGATCACAAGTAGGCAGAGAGAGAGAGAGAGAGGTGGAAGCAGACTCCCTGCTGAGCAGAGAACTCTATGGGGGGCTTGATCCTAGGACCCTGGGATCATGACCTGAGCCAAAGGCAGAGGCTTTAACCCACTGAGCCACCCAGGTGCCCCGAAAAAAATTTTTTTTTGAATTTTATTTATTTGTTTGACAGACAGAGATCACAAGTAGGCAGAGAGGCAGGCAGTGAGAGAGAGAGAGAGAGAGAGAGGAAGGAAAGCCGACTCCCTGCTGAACAGAGGGCCCAATGCGGGACTTGATCCCAGAACCCTGGGATCATTACCTGAGCTGAAGGCAGAGGCTTTAATCCACTGAGCCACCAGGCACCCCTGAAATTTTTTATAATAAAATGTTGGGGAGCACCTGGGTGGCTCAGTCAGTTAAGCATCTGCCTTCTGCTGGGGTCATGATCTCAGGGTCTTAAATCTTTGTGTCAGGCTCTCTGCTCAGCGGGGAGTCTGCTTCTCCCTCGCCCTCTGCCCCTCCCCTCCTCATGCTCTCAATCTTTCTCACAAAGAAATAACATTTTTGTAAATAAATAAAAATTTTTAAAATACAATAAAATGTTAGGAAAAACGTCACTTTCTTGGAGACAGCTTTTTACATCTTAATGGGTAGCAAAAAGTAAAAGTATGTTGGAGAATATAGTTCAGGGAAGAAAGAAGTTCAGATATAAGTTTCTGACAGCTTTCCACTTGCCAAAGAAAACAGGCAGTGGGAGCGAAAATTACTTCAAACTTTGTAAACTGTGAACATTTCTTTCTTTTTTTTTTTTTTTAAGATTTTATTTATTTATTTGACAGAGAGAGAGAGAGATCACCAGTAGGCAGAGAGGCAGGCAGAGAGAGAGAGAGAGAGAGGAGGAAGCAGGCTCCCCGATGAGCAGAGAGCCCAATTTGGGGGTTCTATCCCAGGACCTGAGATCATGACCTGAGCCTAAGGCAGAGGCTTAACCCACTGAGCCACCCAGGTGCCCCTAAACTGTGAACATTTCTATAAAAATAGCCTTCTTCAGCCTCTTCTCTCTGAATTAAGGTGTCCAACAAAAAACCTTTTGGCATTAGGGACGCCTCAGGGGCTCAGTGGGTTAAGCCACTGCCTTCAGCTCAGGTCATAATCCTAGGGTCCTGGAATCAAGTCCTGCATTGGGCTCCTTGCTCAGCCGGGAGCCTGCTTCTCTCTTTGCCTCTGCCTGCCACTCTACCTGCTTGTGCACGCACTCTCTCTCTGTGACAAATAAATAAATAAAAATCTTAAAAAAAAAAACACCTTTTGGTATTAAAAAAGAATTAACCCCCGCAAAATTACCATATGACCCAGAATTTCCACTTCCAACTATACACAGAAAAGAGTTGAAAACAAGGACTCAAACCGATACTAGTATGGCTCTGTTTGTAGGAGGATTATTCACAATGCCAAAAAGTAGAAGCAATGCAGATTCATAGAATAATGGATGGGTAATAAAATTCCAAACAATGGAATACTAATCAGACGTAAAGAGGAATGAAATTCTGATATATACTACAACATGGATAGACCTTAAAACATTATCCTATGAGGGCGCCTGAGTGGCTCAGCGGGTTAAAGCCTCTGCCTTCGGCTCAGGTCATGATCCCAGGATCCTGGCATCGAGCCCCACATCGGGCTCTCTGCTCAGCGGGGAGCCTGCTTCCTCCTCTCTCTCTGCCTGCCTCTCTGCCTACTTGTGATCTCTGTCAAATAAATAAATAAAATCTTAAAAAAAAAAAAAAAAACACTATCCTATGAAATAAGCCAGACAGGCGTCTGTCTGGCTCTGTGGGAAGAACATGCAACTTTTGATCTATTGTGGTGAGTTCAAACCCCACGCTGGGTGTAGAGATTACTTAAACTTAAAAAAAGTAAGTAAACTTAAAAAGTAAACTTAAGTAAGTAAACTTTTAAAAAAGTAAACTTAAAAAAAAAAAAAATAGCCAGGGGCACCTGGGTTGCTCAGTTGGTTAAGTGTCTGCCTTCGGCTCTGGGATAGAGCCCCATATGGGGCTCTCTACTCAGCTAGGAGCTTGCTTTTCCCTCTCCCTCGCCCCGCTCCCAGCCCCTGTCTTGTGCTCTCTCGTGGGCGCTATCTCAAATAAATAAATGAATAAATTCTTAAAAAAAAAAAAAAAAAAGCCAGACACAAAAAATAAAATATTGGGACGCCTGGGTGGCTCGGTTGGTTAAGCAGCTGCCTTCGGCTCAGGTCATGATCCCAGGGTCCTGGGATCGAGTCCACATCGGGCTCCTTGCTCGGCAGGGAGCCTGCTTCTCCCTCTGCCTCTGCCTGCCACTCTGTCTGCCTGTGCTCCCACGCGCTCTCTCTCTCTCTAACAAATAAATAAAATCATTAAAATAAATAAATAAATAAATAAATAAAATATTGTATGGTTCTGCCTATATGAGATACTTAGAGGAATCAAATTTGTAGAGACAGAAAGTAGAATAGAAGTTGCCAGGGGCTGAGATAGGAAGGAATGGGTAGGGGAGTTAGTGTTTAATGGGTACAGAGTTTCAATTTGGGGTGATGGAAAAGTTTGTGAAAGGTGGAGAAGTAGTTGCAAAGAATAAACGTACTTAATGCTACTGAACTGTATACTCAAAAATGGTTAAAATGGTGAATTTTATTTTATAAGTAGTTTCTTCCAATTTATGAAAAAAACTATCTTGGAGATAATAGTACGCGGTGAATCGGTAGCCAAGTGAACACACGCTGACACAGCCCATTTTTCATCGGCCCCAATTCACTCTATGAATGAGGCTATTAGCATGTTCCCTCCCATAATGCTTTGCTTCATTCTCCATCAAAACTTAGTTAAGTGAAATCAAGAAATAAATCCTTAGAAATAGCTTAT